TGTCAATAATGATCATACTATGATTAATTTCATATGAATTTTTCGATGATATAAATATCTTTGATAAATATACTTTCATCTATAATCGGTATAATTTAACTACAATAACAAATTTATCTAGGTTTTAAAATAATTGTATCCAAAATGATATCATTCGAACGATGGTATAACTATTACATGTAATTAATACTGGTCGGACCGAGTATTTTAACACGCGCAATTACGTATGTGCGACGAGATAATTATTTTAGTTGTAAACGTTATGAAACCATCGGAATACATATCTATTTTTCATTAATTTTTGTGCAGGCCATCCTCGTCATTCAGGCACATTTAATGGCAAATTATTATTGCTTCGATCGGAAAGACATTAACGAGAACAGCGAAAAGACGACGTATGGCGAGGAGTATTGTTTCGCTAGAACACGCGTAGCAAAAATTTAGGCCACTTTCATACGATCAATCGTTAAAATATCGCGTTCTTCTTCGTGTTTCCGACAAAACGTGGGCTCGTCGCAGACAGTTACCGTGACCACGGGGCAAATATTAGCCACGCGATCACTTTTTGTGTGCTATTTACGACCAATGATGATATTTAGTATTCGTCTCACGGTGCTAACCTCGCCGCTCTCCAATTGACGAAGATCTTCGGCATGTTTTTTGCTTGGTTCCGGCATTATATCGTCCAGGATCTTCAACTCCCGTTGCGTGAACATCAAATCTAAGGACTTGCGTATTCCAATCATCACCATCAGCTGTGTGAAATATCATTCGAGTGAGAAAAAATAATAAATAATAATAAATCATATAATATTCCTATAAGATAATAAAATACTCAATCAATATATTAAACATCGTTCTTGATTTATCATCGTTTGATAAATATCTAACCATCAAAGGGAAAAGAATGGAAGTACTGCTGAAGGATTTGATGATCCACAAACAGGCTAAACAAGTCAATTGTATCGTTGTAAATAGATGTACGCGTTTCAATGGTACCTGAAAAAAATTTAGATCGTGAAACATTCGGATCGCACGAACAATTACTTATACATTTTATAATTATCTCACCTGTCGAAGGAACATATAATCGGGTTGGTATTTAACCGGCATCAACATAATTAAAATTCTGTCGAAAAATTGAAGTCCTTTCAATGAAGCGACTCCCATATAAAGAAAAACGCCAAATAATACCGGCATAGGTATGTGTCTCAACATTGGTGTGAGTAAGACCGAACAACCGATCATCAAAAAGATTAAAATATGCGTTACTCGTTGCTCGCGAACACCAAGGAATCGTGGTTTTTCTCCTGGTGCGGCGCATTCCGATTCCAGTTTCAACGAGTTCACATGATTAATCGAAAGCACCGTTGCCGCTACGAACCAGGGTAATCCCATTACCGAGCAAATTTCTATCAGAATCGCGAGAACGAATAGATCCAAATGATAGCCACATCCTTTCTAAATACGAACAATACAATTTATAGATTTGGAATTTTTTAATAATACTTTGATCGTTTTTTTAGAATCAAAAAAACTTGCCTTTAATTTATTCTCTTTCCTATTTACTATCACGGCTGTGATTTGTTGATCCATAAAAATCAATATAGTACCTAACAGAGCTGGCAGACTTGCAACAATAGCGCTCCACCATGGATTACTTTGAAAAGGCCAGATTATCCATCCTCGATCTGCCAACGTTGGCTTGAATTCCGTTGGTACCTCGAGTTTCGGCGTCGGAATATTCGCGAAATGATCGAGAGTACTCATCGAAAAAATTGCTATTATCACCGCGAAATCACTAACGACTTGTCTGACCTACATTATACACGCGAAGAGATAAAAAATCGATGGTAATTGGTTTTACGCGACGCGTAAACGTATCTATACCTTCGATGGAAAGAAGAGAGCGTTCTTGAAGTCTTTGAGCTCAACGGATAACAGAAATGTGCCCATGAATAGTATAATTGACATGAGGAACACATCAGGTATATAGTGCGGTAAGTTGCAACCATCGCCCACTAGCGTACCGTTGTAATTCTGAAAGAAAAACGATTCATCAGTGGTATAACACTGTGTCGAGTCAGACACGGTCTTGAAATCAAGCTGCCGTTGCAGCAGTTTGTAATTTCGGCTAACGAGTAGTAGTTCAATGTGTGACGTTCAATTAACCTGGCACGTTTTTTGATCGAGCGCCGTCCAATTAACGTTGTCGTAGCTAGACGGTAGACTGCCATTCGGTGGCCTACACCAACACTCGTAATCGAACGGATCGTTTGCATGGGTATTAATAGGATATTTCTTGCCGATGGACAATACGTTTTCAATGGCCTGAAATATAGAAATTCTTACTTGATTATAAATATCCTCTCTAAATCCTGTATTAAGAAACTGATGGATTAAATTAAAGCTTAAGCTAGTAAAGCTAGTATTCGATTTTAGCCACCACTTTCTCATCAAGATCGAGGTCAATCGAACTTCAAGTTATTCAAGTTTTGAAGCCCGCGAGAAGCGCTTCGATTAGAAGCGTATACCTTGCAATTCGTGACCCAAATGCAGGCGATTTCGCTGATGATGCGATTCGCGAAGCACATACAGTTATATCCCATCCAATTAAGTCGCATCGCGTTAGAAGGACACGGTTGCGCAATTAAGATCCACCAAGGTAACAAAATTGCAAAATAGTCGAAATATAAGAATCGATTACTTACTTTGTAGATGAAGATAAACGCGATCAGAGTGGCGAAGTTTTCCTCTGTGAAACGTGTGATGTAGCACACGAAAGCACTAGCGTCGATCGCTACGAGAATTACCAAAATTAAGGTTATCCATGAGCCGATCCAAAAACGGAACGACATGTAGTTCCAATCCGATTTCCTATGAGCATATCGATACAATTTCGTTACGCCAACGAGCAACGCCTTATATCATATAAGAACTCACTTACTTGCAGAATTCATAGACTATCGTCTCGAAGACTAAAACGGGACCGGTTGAGCCGAGGATGGTTAAAGGTTGTCCAGAAAAAAATCCATATCCGATACCGCAAACGAAACCAGAAACTAACGACTCCATGGCGGCCATATTTTTTCCCGTAGCCTCGCCCAATAAACCACCAAATGTGATTATAGGCGAGAGACAGGCAAAGTATAGGAAGATAAAAGAGGCTACGCATTGAAGAGCCAACGCGTCTTTGAAATCGGAGAAGTAAAACGGCGCTTTCCTCTTGATATCGTTTATCAAACCACCGAAAAGTTTACCAGACCTCGAGAGTCCGGATTCTTCCCTCAATTTTTGTTCATCAGCTTCTTCGTCCAGTTCTTCTTTCGGTTTTTCTTCTTTTGGTCGTTTTCTTACATCCTAAGCAAATTGATTATTAAAATGAATTCCTGTAAATATTAATTCACGGATCGTTCTTCGTCTGATCGTATATCGTACCTGCGAAGGAATGGCAGCAGGCGGTTCTATTCTGATTGCAGGATCCCATTCTCCTGGTGGTAGAACCGTGACCGCGTCCAAGAACTCGTCAATTCCGGCGAGAAGATGATTTCTGTTCTTCGCCTTGTAAGCCACATCGTGGAAGACCTCGTCAGACATCAAAGTAGCCATTGCACGACCAATCTCGTGGAAACCTGTGAGCCCTCCCTAAAAATCCATCGTATCGTTATTCCATCTAATGGATTCGAGTAGATTAATTTATTTATCTCGTGTTTCGCTATGATCGATAACCAAAAGATAAAACAATATAATATCAGGAAAACACGACAAATGATTGAAATGAATTGGAGAATAGAGACAATCTCAAATGATAGTTCTCGTTCAAGTTAGGTAGAAATTGTTTTGTGTATCGGACCCTCGAGATCGAGAATAGTTCAGGCAATCAGCGTGCTCAATTACTTCGTTAAAACGTTAATTACTCGAAAGGAGCTTTTCATCGAGTTACCCGAGAATCTACATTTCTACCCGATAGGTATACACGATTGTTCTACTTTCAATGTTTCATCGTATAATTCCGATATCCGAATTCGAATCGATTTATACTCAGACACGAATTATTATTTTTTTTGTAAAAGATCTTTGGAAAAATCTTACCGTTGGTCCAAGCAGAACAAATATAAATCTCGTTGGCACAGGAACTTCCGTCAAATCACCCATTATTCCAGCTTGGCTCAATCGAATAAAAGCCGATAGAGTTTTATCTAAAAAATCGACCTCTCCTACGAGAATATTGCTCGCCTCGGCTCCCGCTGGTATCTTCCGCATAAAATGCGTATTACCCTGATGAAGAGCGAAGAATAAAGAATTACTCGACAGTGGGAATCATTCGATCATTAAAAATTACGAACCTTGTGATTCGCATCTCCATTTTCTAAGGCGGACGAACTGTGATTTCGGCTAATTGACACGCTACTCGGACTTCGATCCATTCCGTTAGGGCCTGGTTCTTGGCCTGAAAGAGATCTAGCTTACCGCCTACTGCGTCTTTCCAAGGTAAAATTAAACGAGAAGACGAGAAGGCGCGTAGGCATTATAATCGAGGACTACATATTTTTCCGTTTCCTCTCAATTATCATTTCTATCCAAGACCATTAAAAGTTGGATAGCGACCTACATTCGTATGTCGAAAGCGTTTCCCAGTTGCAGGAATCCAATATCAAAGATTTTCCAGAATTTCTCTTATAGGCGATATACGGGACATAGTAGATTGCTTTTACTCCCGTTTTTTTTTTTTTTTTTTTAACATGAACGTTAATTTTCA